CGAGTTATACACACTAAATAGGCACAGCTAATTGAGGATCCTGTCAATTAACTACAACATGCATAAAGTTGAACAAATAAAGATTGAGACTAGCAATTCGTATTCACATAAACAAGAAGTTCATCCTCCAATAGGTTCCATCAAAACCTTAGACAAAGGATTTAGCTACTCATAACTATGGATAAATAAACTAAAACAATATTCATCATAAAACTTGCAAGAAAAATCAAAGAAAAGAAGAAAGATGTTTTGGGTGATCTCTCACAATTGTTTTTCCTTGCCAAAAAAATACTCTCCAAATCAATACATGCCTCTCTTGGGCAAAGTCTAGTGTTTAAAATAGGCTTTTGGGCTAAAAATCCTGTGTTTTGCACTTTAGTCCCTGAAGTTCTCCGCCTCCGCCGCGGTTGCCGCGGTCGCGGTCAAACCGCGGCCAAATATGCTCTCTGATTCTCACTTTGTCTGCAGCCATCTTCTATCGCGGTTCTGCCGCGATCGCGGTGGAACCGCGGCAGTCCTCTTTCAGTTCTGACTTGAGTTTTTTCGCGTGGTTTACTTGACGGAATTTTACGATCGGCCTCTTTTTCTCCATATTTGATCCCAAAAGTACTCCATAGCCTTCTCTAGTCATATATAACTTGCAAAGCATGAAAAACACTAATAAGAGCATTTTGTTATCACTTTTATCATCCAAACTATACAAGAAGGTGGTTATTTAGGGTCTAATTATAGTTAAATTCGCCTATTATCATGTTTGATCACTTTGCTTCCAACTGGATTGAGATTAAGTATGCTACTGCATCTTACTCTTATTCAGAGATTCATTTCGCTTTCGCTTCCAACTGTAAACAATTTTTACTCTCGGAATAGATCACTTTCGCAGTAGAATTTTCAGATATTCAGGGTTTTTGCTCGACGGCAGATTCGTCGGAAATTAGGGTTTGTTCTTGAACAAAGACGGCGGACTTTGGGGCTGAGTAACTTGATTTTCTGTTAATATATTTCAATGTATTTTTAACGTATCACGCTGTATTTTTATGTATTTCATTGTATTCATTGTCTTTTTTTTCATTGTTATTCAATGTATCTCACTGTATTCTATGTATTTCATTGTATTCAATGTCTTTTTTTTCATTGTATTTCAATGTATCCCGCTGTATTCTATGTATTTCATTGTATTCAATGTCTTTTTTTTCATTGTATTTCAATGTATCCCGCTGTATTCTATGTATTTCATTGTATTCACTCTCTCGCTATATGCCATGAATGTATTCATATGTTTCTTTTTTAATTAATATAATTTATATATTCATATGTATTATATAATTTCTCTGAAGAATACTATATTTTTGGGGTATTTTTCGGTTGAGAATTTTTTTTATAAATGGAAATACAAAATTTGTGTGTTATAATTGAGTTTGTTGAGTTATATTAGGAGTCTATTATGTTAATTGATTCACTTTCCGTTTAAAAATAGTGTAATCCCTTGTTTCATGCCGTGAATATAGTCGAATACAATAATCTACCCAACTGTAATCCCATGTTTCACGCCATGAATACATTCGAATACACTCGAATACAACAACAAATTAGGTGGACTTCCCCGATTCACGCCTATTTTTGCTACTATATTCATGAATACAATAGCTTAAATACATCTAATACATCTTATAATAATAGAAAACGTATCTACGTTATGTAATATAACAAATGGTATCTATAGATAGCTAACTACCACTAAAAGATAGTGTTTTATGAAAATTTCTCTTTAATTTCACCCTGTAAATGGAAGTAGGCCTTGTTTTCCTTGTGGATCCTCATATTAAATGACATCTAAGCTGGAAATATGGTCATGGCAACTTCATAATTGCAATATATTGGACTGCAGATACAACTGAAATGGCAGAAAACTCTTGAATATAAAAATCAATTGAAAGTTATGCAGCATCCTTTGTAAATGTAACATTTAAATGATGAATCAACGAAGACCTTATCATCAGACCATAAATTATGACAGCCATGAAAAATGTCCTTACGAGTTTACACTTAACCCCCCAAAAAAAGGAAAAAGATTAACTAAGCACCAGCAAATAAATGACCTAATCATCCATTCCAATTGATCTTCTGAATTATACTTCAGATGTTACAGCATCTGGTTTCTGTTGATGAAACTTAAACACAAATACACTACAAAAACTCTAATCTCCGCACGTTGAGAATAAGCCTAAAGAGTAAGGTCTTTAGGGTCCTCAATTATCTGTGCTAAGGTTTGCAGGAAAGAAGCCAAATCAGCACCATATATCACCCGATGATCAGCAGTGACATTTACCTGAAAATTTTAGCATTTTATAACTTAGGCATCAACGAATTTAGATATTGCACATGCCTTCGTTTTTATTTGAGAAACACAACCTAGCATGTCAAAGATCAATAACAAAAATAATCACTCAACCTGCATTTGGTTTTTCAGGCCAATTCGACCATCTTTGGTACCAACAAGTGCAGGGTGAGATGCTCCTACAGCCATAATTGCACCCTAGAAAAGAATAAATACCAACATGAGAAACAATACTAGAAATATTCAGATATCAGGCAGGCAGTATAGTGAACAGACGAGTTTGTATCTACGACTGAGAGCTTACAGTTCCTGGAGGTAAGATGGCATCGAAGCGATCAACGCCAAACATCCCAAGGTTAGATAGAGTAAAAGTGCCTGCAGTACAGAGCCAAACAATCAAACACCACTAAGCAACAGATGAACAACAAGAACCTCGGACATGCAGAAGCAGAGAAGTCAGCTAATACAACAAAATGATCTTGGAACAAAAAGAGTTTTACAGCACTACTCCAAAAAAAAAACTTATCAAGACACAGCTATTTTAACTGATCTCCGACGTGGAGACAAGAAATAGACACTCCCTTTCTCGTATCTTTATGTTTGGCCTATAGGTATCTTATGCATAGGCAAAGTAGTTGATTTTCATTTCACCTTCTTTCTCTGTAAGTAGCCATACGAATAAAATAATACTCTTTGATTGGACTCATCCAAAGTCCAAAAGTATTATTATTTCAGTGCAGAAAATCATGCCAACTTACACCAAACTGGGCTAGTTCTAATTGCAAGAGGGGATAGCCTACGTGCTTCCAGCATAAATGCATGAACAGCTATGTAATCATTTGTAGACTATAGGATCACATAGCTTTGATCAGCTATGCGATTTATAGTCTACGAGTTTATTGTTGGTAAACAAAAACACTAGGAGACCATTAAACAAGTGCAAGGGCATAAAAGTGAAAGATTTACTTTGCCACCAACACAAAACAGACATAAAAACAGATGAGGTGACATATCTCTGCAAATTCCCACCTTCCTTGGCAGTTCAAGTCGCAATTAACAAAAGTTCAATTGAGTAAAACAAACTAGCTTCATTGTCCTGTCGTACTCATTCTTAAGGTCAAACTTGAAAGTTGACTTCCTTCATGAAACTTGAACGTTTAGCGTCTTTCAATTGTTTCACCTCCTTTTCTTTCAATTGCGTGCAACCTTCTCAACCACAGATAAGGTTCAGAAAGTTGGCTAAATAAAAATATTTTTTTAGAGGACAAGATTATTGAGATTGCTATGCTATTATCTGATTAATATAGATTTGATCCTAAAAGTAGGCATGTCTTGCTTAGCCTGAATATTAAACAAAACTAAAATAACACAAGAGTTGTAGCATATCAAATTGCAGGTTTAGTAATATCTTGCAAAATAGAACACTCACCTCCCTGCCCAACCCAACTAAAACCCAGGAAAAAGACTAAACAGAAAGAAAGGCTTTTAGCTGGAATAGGGACAGCATTGATGTAAATACAGCAGGCAATAGCAAATTCATAATTTAGGGAATGTAGTGATCATATCTTAAAAGCTGAAGCAGAGTAAAATGATACAAGAAAATGAAGTCCCTCACTTTTTCTGAGAAAGTAAAAACAAAACCCAAGAGTGCATAACGATACTAGTTCCAACTTAAGTTTAAACAAAAAAAAAAGTTGAAAGTGCATAAGATAAATGGATAACGCGGGGAAAGAAATGATACAGGAAATTATGAGCGAAGAAGCTGAAATCTTGTATTCCAATGAATAAAGTACTCCGTCCGTTCCTAACTATTATGCTTATATGACACTTTCTCTTTTGTGATATCCCAAAAATGATAGACACCATCTGACTAGTAACATATTTTTATATCACTTTCCCAAGTTTAAAGAATTCAAACATGTTTGACTAATCAAGAACTTCATCAGTGATTTTCTCCATTATACTAACTTTTCAATTAGTAGTTCAATATTTTCTTCTACTACTCCTTATAACAATTTTCTCCGTCTTGATTTTATGTGATTCTGTCCGATTGGTAACTCTAAAATCCAATCAGACAGAATCACATAAAATCAAGACGGAGGGAGTTTTCTTTTTATCTTCATCATTCTCTAACAAGTGCCCATAACAACTTCACACATTGGGTGATGCCGGCATAGTGAAGGAAGCGTTGCATAGTTGGGCTCATAGGAGGGAGAAGAGAAGTCAAAGGGCATGGAGTCTTCCCCCCTAAGCACTCATGCGGGTTATTTGGAAAGAGAGAAATAGAAGGGCTTTTGAAGGGGAGGAATTAGAGTTTGTAAAGTTGCAAAGTAGTCTTATTTTTCTAGTTTGTCTTTTTTTTTTTTT